TGTCCCTTAATTCATTTAAAAATATTTCATGATTTTTGTTATAGGTGTTTAATGCCCAATAACATTGTTTTATTTCAAGTAGTAAACAATCTCTTGCTAATTTATTAAATAAGTTATTTGTTTTTTCTTTATAATTTATCAGAAATGAGGTATTAAAAAGATTTTCCAAAGGTAAAATTTTTTTCAGCAAGTGTTGCGGTATCGTGTCCGAGTATTTACATTTTTTTAAATAAAATAATTTATTATTTATCCTTAAAATTTTTGAAAAATTATTAAGAAATTTATAAGTACATGATAGGTTTACATTACCATTTATTGTATTCACAATTGTAAATTTCCAATTCTTCCATACTTCATCCTTCGGCATGTTTTCTGGGTCGTTATTAGGCCTCCCGGTTAATAATATTCACAATATTACTCAATTCTTCTTCGGTGCATACTATTATTTTCAAGTTAATTTATTATTAGCCATATTTACACCAATTTAAAAAAAATTTGTTGTCACTTAATGACTACTCATCAAAATGACGACGTTTCGGCTCGTCGAGCCATTTTCAAGTCTAAAAAAATTTTTAAATTTTAAAATTTTTTTTATAGATATACACAATACTTATTGATGCTAATAATTAATCATTGCAGACTTAAATTATATCATCTAGACTAGCCTCATTAAATTTACATAAATTGGTATTCACTCTGGAAGATTAGATTAAATCACAACACATAACATTTACACTTCGACGAGAAACATGCCACCAGTTTATATCAGCAACAATCCAATTCCTCAGACGGACACGCTACCTCGGACTAATGTTTGATAGAAGGATGACCCGTGGCCCACACTTCAAAATGAAAAGAAAGACTTTGAACAAGCGACTGAAAATACTATACTCCCTGTTTTCTAAATCAAAATTGAAAATTAGACAAAAACTACCTACTTACCTGCTCAAACCCATTTAAACATACGCCTAACAGATTTACGGCTCACTTACAAAAAAGACTCACTTACAAAAACTACAATCTTTTCAATCTAAAATTTTAAGACTAATAACTGCAGCTCCCTGGTATGTCAACAACAACACTTTACATACCGACCTAAGACAACCAACCATTGACGAGCACATACGTACTCTTTCTCCCGATTTCCTCTTAAACTACACGGACATCACAATGGACTTATCAACGACATGTCCACGGCTGAAACGGTCATCAGGAGGTGACTGAAAAGGAGCTGGATGAGAAATCTCCTTTCCACATTGTAGGATAAACAGACCAGGAAGGAGGTGCTGCTGGACTCCATTATTCGTCATGCCGATGATGCCATTTTCTACCTAAGAACAAATCTGCTAATTGTCACTACCATGACAGGTGCGGATGAAGAATTGAAGACAAAACAAAAAAAAAAAAAATTATATCATTAACATTCTGGTCAAGTATTTTTACAAATATGTACAACTAGATAAATGTGTTCCTCTGAACTCGCAAGCCTATTAACATCTTTCAGTAATGAAAAATACTTACCAATGTTATATCCAACCTCAATCAAATCCCTCTCCATTCTCCTTTGGAATGCGAATGGTATTTGAAATCACATCAACGAACTAACAATCTTATTACATGACAAAAACATCGACGTAGCACTAATAACTGAAACCTCACTAACCATCTCACGACAAATCAACGTTCCCGGCTACAATATTTATCAAACCGACCATCCTGATGGAACAGCACATGCCAAAAGTATCCATCGATCCCTTTCCAATCATTTATTTCTCTTACTAACCCATAATTTCCTATTATCCACTGCCGTAATAATTCAAACTTCCCTCTACCTAATAACACTAGTTATTGCGGCATATTCCCGCCTATAATAACAATTTCAAAATCATAAATAATTTCCGTCCTGAATTCCGTAGGACACCACTTCCTACAAGGTGAAGAGTAGATTTAAATGCAAAACACTAGCAATGGGAAGCCAGATCCACAAATCCCGGAGGGCGAACATTGCCATCTTCACTTAATTTCTATCGCAGCAACATCCTTTCACCTAATACTCCCAAATACCGGGCCAACAGATGTTAACCGCAATCCCGATCTTATCTAATAATAACCGTTTCCACATCACCAATTCCTAAATCATCTCTCCCTTCCTTTATCAGGAAACCAGTTAACTGGAACCTTTTCTGAAAAATAATGTAGACCTCAGAGTTTCTTTAAAAACACCTGAAAACCTTGATACAGTGCATTCCTTCACTACACTGATGAAGTAGTTTAGACTGCATCCTCACCTCATCGTCCCAAAAAAATATCATGACATAAATCCTCTACCCCAAGACCTACCGGACTTTATCTATAGACTACTATGACATATTTAATTCCTTCATTCGATTAATTGTTATCTATTTTTATTTTTTTCTTCGATATATTGGAGGAAGAGGGTAAGGCAAAATATTCTTGTCTTCCTCTCTATTTTTATTGGGGTATCGCTCCCTCGCTCCCTCTCTGTGATTTTCTTTGAACATCTAGCAACCTAATTATCTGCAGAGAGATTATTTTCGAAAACGTCATTAACAATTTGAAAAACAAATGAAATTGTTTATGTGATAAATAGAGCCCCGATTTTCGTGTAGTGAAAAACCTAAAAACATGCAGTATACAACTCAAAATGTGCTAAATCGTGCAGTAAAACCTCAACAAAAAGGTAAAATTGTGTATACAACTTCTTAAAAATGCATAGAGTATAGTTTATGTTTATAAATATAAAAATATTTAAATATAAAATGCTTATCTCCTCTTGTGTTAGAATTAGAGTCCCTAAATTAAAGTTAGGTGTAACATGTAAAGAAAAAAATCTAATTCTAATTAAACAATGGACGATGATTTACCTAAATCTAGCTGAAATAAACATTAAAAAAGTTAATCGTATACTTAATATCAAAATGAACACATTTAAATTGAGGCTTGATGTTACAGGTGGAGGCCAATTAAAATTTAAAAAAATGTGGATTTTGAGTAAAGTCAAATCTCCTTAGATTTTATTAGAATCCATAGTGCTTAGAATAATAACTAACTAGCAGAATATGTGTTTGAATGTGTTGGAGAGATGTTCAATCAGCTGTTCTTTTCTGTCCTGATGATGCCTGAATAACAGGTTTTTGACAGGTTTTTTATCTTTGCCTACATTTTGGAGAAATGATGCTGTGTGATTTGGAATTTTCCAAATTATATCCTAACATTGGTAACAATGCATCCATTGTCTTTACTCTACAACTCTTCCATACAATCGGGTGGCGGGATGGGTGTTATCACTATTATTCTCGACAATGCCATTATGTATAAAATGCATTGTCAAGTTAATTTTATTAATTTGGTTGGATTTTACTATGTTTATGTCAATAAAACATCCAAACCTACCTATTCTGTAGCATTTTTGTAAGATCTAAAATAACATATTTAATAAACAGCAATAAGCTAGTAGGTAACTGCAAGACCAAGACCAAGACTGAGTGTGCAAGACCAAGACCAAGGTTTGATGGGGCAAGATCAAGACCAAGGTTTGTTGACGCAAGACCAAGACTAAGGTTTGTTGATGCAAGACCAAGACTGCCTCGGTCTCGTCTTGGTCTTGCGTTTGGACAACAATAATAGGAATGAATGTGGCTCGAAGATTTATTTTATTTTTACTTATTGATGTATTTATTACATCACTGATGTAAGTTATTGTACTTATTTATATATTTTTCTATCATTTTTCGTTTTTATTTTTGTTCTTAATAATTCTTTTTAATTTGTTTGTCATTTTAACTATTTTTATTTATTTCCTCATTATATGTATATATGGTATGAATGAACAGATTTAGCCTTAACACTTATTGCCCTTCATTGTGGCAGATTGTACTATTTATTATTTAATAAATTAAAAAAAAGGTAAATGTGTATAGGATCTGTAAAACAAGGAGAGATTTGTTGTATAAATAAAGTTATTTTTCACTTTATATGATATTATTTCAAGTATATTAACATTGGTAGAATCTGGTGTTGAGGCTCGTCTGTAACTGTCGTATTGTTTCCTATGTTTAATATGTAAATTCGCAATGGCCACTCTTTAGATCGTAAAGAGAATGTTTCTGCTATTTTTAACCACAAACCCCACTGAGGTCTGATTTTGTTTTTCCTGAAGCCACTATAATATAGTCCAAATACCATAATACATATCAAAAGGCTTTGAATGGCAAGTTATATTGTTGATAATGTAACCAAAAATAGTTTAACACAATCTTTTCAGTACCCATTCCTTCCTTATATTACGCTTGCTTGACATTTTAAAATTTGATTACACTTATACTATACTACAGGAGTTGAGTAGCTCAATGAGTTAGGCACTGGGCAGCCAAGCTCTAGGTCCTGGGTTCCAATCCAGCTAATAAAATGTTGACAAGTTTTTCATCAGTTGTGGATCGACTCTGTACCCGTAAGACATTTGGGGGCACACCCAGCCTTTATAAAGTAGGTACACTTAATTAAAATAATTGGTTTAGGGGAAAACTTGACTGTTAAGCGTGATCCGATTACTTTCATACACAACCGTAGATTTTGAAACAGTAGTTTCTAACAAAGTATGTACTGAACCCAAGAGACTTCATGGCTTGTTGTAGTACAGGCATTTTTTAAAACTAGTTTATATTAAAATACAACAATTTACGAATTCGTAAAGAAAATCATATTAGGCGCAAAGGTCTATAGGAATGTTTCCAGCGGAACAATTTTAATTAATAATGATTTTACAAATTTGGCTATATAACATGCTATAGGTTTATATGACAATATTAGGAACAATAATTGAGAATTCCGGCTGATGGGATAGAAGCCTCGAAACGTTGAGCGTAATACCAAATTAGAGAAAAAGTAAAATAATTACATTAGCAAGAAAGTGAAACTATTGATCTTTTCTATACAAAATAATTTATCAAAATAAATAAAACCATGTATTTCATTGTACTATTCAAATTCATTTATTTGACAGGATAAATAAGTTACTGACGGTTATTATTAAAATGGAATCCAGTCTGTGAGTATATTGATGAGCTTATCAAAGCAGTTGCAGGAGATGTCCCAAGGCCTCTTCACGAAGTAGACGTGCATCGAAGTCTGGCCGTACTTGCTAGCCAAGTCGTCCAAGCATTGTGGCCTGTTAGGTGTGATGATCTGTAAGGAAATAACATCATTTAATACACCACAAGGAACAAATTTATTCGCCTAAAATATAGTTTGTTTCTATTAACTGATTATTTTTATCCGACTAAGTAAAGTAAAACGAGAGTTATGTGTTTGGGTTGTCCACTAAAACTTATGTATCGATTTTTTAAGTTTGGTGGCTAAAATTATTTAGTGTAATCTTTTGACTGGAGCTAAAGAACTTGACCCGTGACTGAATAAAATGTGTTTAGTCGATTTACTAAAATGTACTTAACGATTTTTTGAGCAACCGGCTAGATGGATTTTCATGTTTAGTAGGTCAAATTCGTGGCCGAACCCTGCTGTCTGCACTCAATTCACAACGTTTTCACCTCCTTTCCCCCAACTCTCCTACCTACTGGCCCACAGATCCCAACCGTAATCCTGATCTTCTTGATTTCTTTATCCACAGCGGCTTAAGTCCCCTCAATTGTTCCATTACACGTCTAAATGAACTTTCCTCTGACCATAGTCCTCTAATCCTTAATGTTTCACTTGAACCTGTTCCCAAACCTTCTCCACCGTCATTCATTAGGGGCCCAGTAAACTGGGACCTTTTCCGCCAAATAATCTCCGATAATATTGATCTCAACATATCCCTCAAAACTCCCGATGACCTTGATAGTGCCGTAAATTCCTTTACTACCACAATCCAACAAGCCGCCTGGACTGCCTCCTTCCCAAAAGACTCCTCCAGAATTCCTATAAAGACCATTCTACCCCAACACATCCTTAACCTAATCCGCACCAAACGCCGTGCCAGATTATTATGGCAACGTACCCGACATCCTACCGACCGCTGCTCCTATAATTACTACTGCAAACAATTAAAACTGGAATTAGCCACCTTCAGATCACAATCCTTCAACTCCTACCTATCCTCCCTCTCTTCTCGCGACAATTCCCTTTGGAAAACCACAACAAAAATCCTAAATCCTCACCGCATTTCCCATCCTCTCCGACGAGGTGATGGCTCCTGGGCAGCATCTGACGAAGATAAAGCTGAGGAGTTCGCCATTCACCTATCCAATACATTTATTTCACATCCGGAATCCCATCCTGCCCACACCGTAACAGTAGAAGAACTCCTTACATCACCAATCCCACTTTCCTTGCCCCCAAAAGCTATTCATCCTTCCGAAGTAAAATTTCAATTAAAAAAACTAATCCTCCGTAAAGCTCCTGGACATGATCTCCTTACACCTCAAATCCTTCGACAACTTCCATCCAAAGCAGTCATATTCCTTACATATATCTACAATTGTATCCTACGCACCACCCACTTCCCTCTGTTATGGAAACACTCCACTATTATCCTTTTCCCAAAACCAGGAAAACCTCTCAATAGCTCAACATCCTATAGACCAATCAGCCTACTCCCAATCCTTTCAAAAATTTTTGAAAAGATCCTTTTGAAACGAATCCTACCCATTATAGAATCCCAAAATATCCCTTCCCATCAGTTTGGTTTTCGCTCTCAACATTCTACTGTTCAACAAGGACTCCGAGTTGTTGATCATATTTCCTCAGCTCTAGAAAACAAGGAATACTGTTCGGGTGCCTTTCTGGACATTGCACAGGCATTTGACCGGGTATGGCACTCCGGACTGCTCTCCAAGCTTAAAATCCATTTACCTCAGTCCTTGTACCTAGTCCTCCGATCCTACCTCTCTGACCGCTCCTTTCGAGTTCACTGTGGAACAGAATTTTCCAATATCTACTCCGTTAAAGCCGGTGTTCCCCAAGGCAGCGTCTTGGGTCCCGTGCTTTACATCCTCTTTACTGCTGACATCCCTGTTCATCCCGATACTTTTCTTGCAACATTCGCTGACGACACCGCAATCTTATCATCCAACTCTGATCCCGAAATAGCATCATTAAATCTCCAAAGTCACCTCACCTTGATTGAGCACTGGTGTAATAACTGGCGCATTAAAGTTAATGAATCTAAATGCCAACATATTACCTTTACACTCCGACGCAATTCCTGTCCACCAGTACTCTTTAATTCCATCCAGCTTCCTTATTCAGACACAGTCCGGTATCTTGGCTTTCATTTAGACCGAAGACTAACTTGGAACCCGCATACTAGACTCAAAAGACAAGAACTCAACCGACGATACGGCTAACTATACCGATTACTAAGCAGAAAATCTAAACTTTCCATTGAAAACAAGCTACTGATCTACAAGACAATACTGAAACCTATTTGGACTTACGGACTAGAACTGTGGGGATCAGCAAAATTTTCTAACATCAAGCGCATCCAATCCTTCCAGTCTAAAGTCCTTCGAACAATAGTCGATGCTCCTTTCTATGTATCCAACAAAACCCTACATCATGACCTTAACATCCCATTTGTCCTAGACCTTATCCCAGAAAAATTCTCCAAATTTCACCAGAACCTTACTTACCACCCAAATCCTCTTGCACAATCTCTATCAAGCATCTCCCATCCCCATAATCCTCCAAGAAGGTTGAAACGGCAGTGGCCTCGCGACCTTTTGTAGATTATATAAATTGGAGTTCTGGCAATGGCCAGATTCTTCACTCAAGACATGTGTGTATGTTTATTTATTTATTTAAATCTCTGCCCTGCCAGTTTGGCAATACGAGTGTTTGCAGTATTGGATAGCTAGACGTGTGTGCATAACTAGCCAATACTGCAATCGATACAATAAGATTTTCTGTTTAGCTTGGCTCTTCCATCCTCTGTGGTGGAGCTTCTTCTCTTCTACCCAAATAGAAGTGGGCTGGGCCAATGATGTCTTTCCACCCGTACACAAAGGCCTTGTAGTGCGGGTAGTTCTCTCTGGTCACTAGCTGAGGTAGATCGCGCTCTGATAAGACATAGAGCCCAGTCTCCCTCAGCAACTTAGCCCTCAATGCCTCATAGGCGGTACAGGCTAATAAGACGTGCTCGGCGGTCTCCGGTACCCTACAACTTGGGCATAGGGGATCAATGTTCTTACCATGTTGAACAAGCTTTGCTCGGAATCCCCCATGCCCCGTGAGGAATTGCGAGACCCAATAGTCCGGGAGGAGCCATGTAGTTTCCATTCTTGAACCGACGGTGGGGAAGTATTTCCTTAGGGTTGATCCTTTTGGCGTTGTCACCCAACGCCGGTTCCATTCTTCTAATGTGCATTCCCGGAGAATCCTCTTCCATCTGCTTGGGTCTTCACTGATCCTCACTCGGAGATTAGCCGGTAGATCCACCAAGCCATCTCTCTTCATTTCGTGCCGAAAGTAGTCTTCACGAAGTTGAAGATCAATTGGAATACTTCCGGCTAAGACTTGTACCGCCTCATGAGATACTGACCGGTACGCCCTAGTGACACGCAGCAGAGCCATACGCTGGATCGTCGCCAACCTTTTCTTCTGTTGGTGCGAGAGAGTCTGACTCCACGCAGGGGACGCATATCTCAGGATACCCAAGATAACTCCGTTATAAATAGCCAAAGTGGCTGGGTATCTGAGACCCCAAAAGGCGCCCCCGATGCGACTCAGTCCATTAAGAGCCAGGGCCACTCTACTTCTCAGATAGTCCAAGTGAGGGGTGAAGTTAAACTTTCTTCCAGTCCTTATCCCAAGATAGGTGACCGCCTCACTTGGACGTATCGTTTCTCTCTGTATATTCAGAGTGATAGGGTGGGCCCTGTCAGTCTTACCCCTCAAAAGAACGGACTGAGTCTTTGAAGCCGCCATCTTCATCTTCTTTCTCTCGCACCATTCTCCTACAAGGTTGGCGCACCGTTCAGCCTCTTCCTTTAATCTGGCTCTGCTGTTCGATGCCACCACGACTGCGAGATCGTCTACGTAAGCAGTGGCGGGGAACCGCTGCTCTTCCAGTACTCCCAGCAGCTCGTCAAATACCAGTTTCCACAAGGCTGGACCTAGTACAGATCCTTGTGGGCATCCTCTTTCTACAGAATCCTCTACAGCAAAGAAGTTACCTTTTATCATTAATTTGCGGTCTTCTAGATAGCTTCTTAAGAGGTCGTACAGGTTGCTGGGAGCTTCATACTTTTGCAACTGCTGGAGTACACTCGGCCACCAAACGCTATCGAAGGCGGAGGATATATCAAACAGGAGAAGCATTACATACTTCTCCGCCTTCTCTTCAACGTCACGGCGCACCCTGAGCAGAGCATCTGCGGTTCCCCTACCTTTAGTACATCCGTACTGTCGTGGATGGCTAGCCCTTAAGAAGACTGGTCGTAGACTCCTCATCAGCAAGGTCTCCAACAATTTACTCATTATAGGAAGGAGACATATAGGCCTATATGACTTCGCTAACTGCTTGTCCTTATCTCCTCCCTTATAAAGGAGTCTAACATCAGCAATCTTCCATATTTTAGGGAAGTAACCCCTGTCTAGGCAATCATTGAACAATGCTAACAGCCTTTGTTCAATGTAGGGGATACTATTCCTTAGTATTGCTGTGTCTATCGAATCCAAGCCAGGAGCTCGACCAGTCCTTTGCCTATCCACGGCAGCACGGAGATCCCATATGTCCCATGGTGGGCATAGGTCCGTACCTGGTGGGCATACCGTAGTGCGTCTAATGTATCTCTCCTCTTCATTATCTTGGGACGGATCATCCCTGGGGTAGGTTTCCGCAATGAACGTTTTTGCCGTCTCCTCCAGAGTGGTTGCCTGAGTAGCTCCGCGTTTCAATGCGGCTATTACCTGTTGTGGATTTAACTTACCCAAGGCAACTCTGTAAGGGATACCCCAGGGGTTCTTGGACGATTCTTCAATAATGAACTCGTCCCAAGACTTCCTTTTTCGAGAGCGCACTTCGTTTCGGTATGCTCTGGACTTGGACCTATACTCGTCGCGAAGTGTGGCGCGCCTCTCCTCACTACCACACTTTTGATAGGACCGCCGGGCCTTGTAGAGCTCTCTCTTCATAGCAGTTAAGGCCGGCGTCCACCATGGGATAGGTCGAGCTCTCACCTTCCGTTGCTGGAGGGATTCCTCAGCGGCGTCACGGATGACATCTGTGATCCTAGAGACCCTATAATCTAGACTATCTGTCTGGTCCGTCTCCGCTTCATCCCATTCTTCATCTACTAATTTTTCCTCCAGCGTTGACCGGAAGGCTTTCCAATTTGCCCTTCGGGTTAAATAACCCATAGCGATGCCGTGGGAACTTTCCATATTTTCCACCAGCTTAAAAGCTATCGCTTGGTGGTCGGAACTCGTTTCAGATCGGAGGATCCAATCGTTGATGCGACTCGCTAGCACCGGTGATGCCAGTGTTACATCAATCCAGCTCTGCCCTCGAGCGCTAGAAAACGTTGGCAAGGCAGAGGGATCATTCATTACCACTAGCTGGCTTCGGCCAATGAATTCTCCGAGTTTAACGCCTCTTCTATTCGTTTGATTGGATCCCCAGACCGTGTTCCAGGAGTTGGTATCTGAGCAGATGATGATGTTTCTATAGCAAGCCGTGATCATCTCCATGGCGGATATGTCGTTGTCTATATCACCTCCGTCAGGAAGATATGATGAAACCAACGTAAAGGTAATATTACCCCATTTGATATAACATGCGACACAATCCGCCGTGGTAAACTGCCTCAGATCCATCACATCGAGGTTTGGGTTATTTACCACTATAGCTGCCCTGGGCCTCCTCTCTCCACTGCTCAGAGCTATAACCCTCGATGTGAGGCCGAACCCCGTGACCATGTTCCCACGGCAGCTCGGTTCTTGAATCGCCATAACATCATAACGTCCAACAAGAGCCCTTAACTCATCCGCTACGATGCGACGACGGCCCATGTTGAGCTGGAGAATGGTGATATTATTCATAGTAGGTCCTCTTAGCCATGTGTGTATGTGGCTAAAGTGCTCTCGACCAATCTCCGCTGGCTTTAGTACCAGTGACGCGGTTGGAAGAGTAGCGCAGGGTTCTCCTGGAGTTCCCTCGCCTGATTGTATATAGGTATGCATGTTTTTTTTTTTTTTCCTTAGTTTTAATTTTCTTATTTTTTAGGTTATTTTATTTTATTGTCTATTGTATATACTTTTGATTATTATTTTGTTCTATTTATTTTATTTTTTTGTACATATGGTGTGAATGTCATCCTACCTCACTATAACCAATGTCCAACAGACAGATTGTTATAATACTCAATAAAGAAATTAAAAAAGTAGGTCAAATTATTCGTTGTTAAATTGTTCGTTGTGATTTTTGTTTTCAATTTCTTTAATTCGTCAATCAGATACCGTTAATTATATGTATTTAATATGATATGGTACATAATATAAAATACTATGCAAGTTTCATTTGTATTTATTTTTGAATATTATGTGATTTCAAATCGAAAATTATGTCTGTCGAATTTGAATCTTCTAGATCAGGTCTCCCTGTGCATTACCGTCAGTTAATCCTGTTAAGTGGAAGTGAACTATCTGTCGTTATAATAAAAATCTCAAATAATATCACTTCCCCTCGTCTCTAGCATTATCATTTATATTTTATGATACTAAAAATAGTATGATACTCACACTTAGAGCTAGCTTTGGTGGGTATTCGTACCAGTCCCGGCGTTTACCAGCTGTTGCTGTTCCTGGTGTAGCCAAACCGTATCCTACGAGGTATCCGTCTTCGTAGAGTGGGAAGAGAGCGAAGTTCTCTCTGCAATCCTTCAGGTTTTTGTCTACCTTGTAGAAGAAGTGACGACCTGGAGAGCCATTAAGTTCATATTATCATTCTATACATATGCTCCTTAATATGTAAGTTTTTATTTTTCTGACTGAAGCTTAGATGTACAATAAATTTTAAAGAAATATGTTGCTTCGTAAAAAAAATGTAATAATGATGTTAATGTAGTAAACTAAACTGATATAATTAAATAAATTAGAAGGTTCTGTAAGTACTCAATTTTTTTTCATATGATACCAACGATTAATGATCCTCAATTAAAAAAAAAATATCATGAATATTTAGGGACAAAAAGATTTTTTTTTTTAATTTTTGGAGATAGAAACTAATTTTTCAAACCATACTTTATTGTTTCAATAAAAATTTGACCATTTAATTCGAATAATCTAAACTATTATGAATCATAATGTATTGTTTTAAATTCAACTATTGCTATTAACTTTAAATAAATTTTATGTTCTGTTCTATTTTAAAATTTAACGATAAAATGATAACATTAGTAGTATTATTCTTGTTTCTTTCAACATAATATTTTAATACCATAATAGAATGTGAACTATTATTTTTGTTTTGTATTTATTTCAAATAATTGTTATTACTACAATTGCAATGACGCACATACAGGAATAAATAAGTACGGGGACGTATTTAAAGGGATGACGGATCTCAAGCGCTACAAAAAGTTTATAAACATATTGGTCCGAATTTCCGCAGACAAGTAAGCAATTTAAGCTTTGTGTTTTTTAAGTCATATTTTTTATTGAATCATTACACAATCTTTTATTATTTCAATCTGTTACATATCATAAGCAACTCTACTTTCCTTGTCTCTTACAGAAAAATAATTAATAAGTGATTCCTAATTTAGGCCTAAATAATTTTTTTTTATCGTTGCGATTTTGTTAAAAAATAGAGACAACAATCTCAATGGCTTTGGTGATGTAAGACCTTTAAAAAAAAAAACAACAAAGAATATCAGTTTTTCAACAGAACATCTAGCAAATATTTAGAGCAACATATATTTGCACCAAATCGTCTGATTTATTTTTATTTTTTCATTTTGTGGCTTCAAACCAGAAGACTTCGGCTGTTTCATAAAAATCGGTTTAGGCGCTATAGACAGTCTATAGCGACTCACTTTTTTCGGCAGCCATCTTGAAAGGAAAGGGCGGATGTTAATGCCAAGTTCCGAGGATCATCCTCAGAGGCTCTTTAACATTGATAACCAATCTCAAAAAAATCGGTCCGGTAGTCTCGGAGAAAAGCTCCGGACGGCGGACGAACGGATTTTTTGTATTCCATTTCTGGATTCCCTATTTTAAAATGTGAAAGATCAAATTTTAAAGGTGATTAAAATTGTTTTTCTTGGTCGATTGCAAAGGTTGATTATTGAAAATAATAAACCAAAAATGTTTAATGTTAGTAACTAACAATCGTTTCAGAGTAAACTAAAAATAAAAAATGTATCTAAAGTAAAAGAACATTTTCTCGTTGTTATAACCATGTATCTACGAGAGTAATCTAATCTAAAGAGTATTTTTGAGCTGACAAACTATACCTTTTTTTTTTACATCATTCTGCAACTGCACTACATACATCCCATTATTAAAAAAACTTGCTTGTTTCATAAGTTTTAAGTCCATATTAATTAAGTTGAAATTTATTAAGAAAGTTGAGAAACATCTCAAGTTGTGAAAAAATGAATTGATTTGATATCCTGTCATCTAAAAATATCTGTATTTCAGAAAAAAAGAAATATATATATATTTGAATATCTTTTTTCCCTTATTCGGAATGAATTATAATAAAAAATAAAAATATTGATAAACATACTTTCTGTTAATAACGCTTCCTATTCGTTAGAAACGTGACTTTTAAATATATATATATTTTTTTTTTGAAATTTATAACTGTATTACATGGAAAATAGAATAAGTAAATGTGACATTGGTAACATGACATGTACAATATGAAGAGAAACTACCCATTGGTAGAACTCAAATTAAATTTTTATATTAGAAGGTCCCGAGGCCATATTCTTTTCAGACGCCTCGGAGGGTTATCAGGGATCGAGGAGGAAGCAAGATTTGATTAAAATTAACAACACAAAATATTAAATTGCTTACTTTTCTGCAAAAAATTGTACTATTGTTTAAACTTTTTTGTCTCTTATCACACTTATAAATATTTTCCTCTTCTTAAGGGGAAAATATTCATATAGTTAGTTATTTTAACATTTTAGAATACTTAAAGCCGTTAATTTATTTGATTATATTTTATTAAACCTTTTATATTCTTGGGGTTTGAAAAAACAGTTTATATATATTATATATATAAACTAAGCCCTTTCCTAAAAAACTCATGGATGTATTTAATTATATTATCTTAACTTACCCATAGATCTCAAGCACCCTTGCTTGTAGAAATCACCAAATCTGTCACCTTCTGGCATTTTTCTTGGGATCTCAATCAGTTCACCTTTGATGTAAACCCAGAGACCATCTCCGATTTCGCCATTGGCGTCACGTCCATTTTCGGTAAGTTTTTCTATTTACATGAAAAAAAAAATGAGAGAGATTAATGATAAGTATTTCTTTATGTTTCAATAATTCTACACTACTAGAAACTATTGTTTATGATAAAAACAAAACTTATAAAATTATCTTACAAACTTACACAATTACAAAGCAAGGAGCAGCCAAAATCTATTATCCAGATTCATATTAACAACTGACAATAGTATTTTTAAGTGTAACGGAAGTTGTGAACATACATACGGTGCTTGATTGGATTTCTTTTATCTTTTTTTTTTACTTTTTGATTAAGTAGTATTACATCGCGTCACCATAAAGGACACATAAGAACAGAAAGCTCATTCATTCCTGATTTAACGAAAATAAATAAAGATAAACCGAAATAAAGTACAGTTATAATAAACGAAAAGTAATAAAAACAAAAATAAATAACTATAATGATAAATAAAATAAAATATCGTCTATAATAATATACAAAAAGTTCATTAGTTCTTCAGTTTCACATTTTTTTAATACATAATAACTTTAATGTACATGTTTGGCCTTTGGTCATCCTCAGACAGAAGATCAGAAAACAACTTTTTATCTATTATTATAACTTATTGGTCTCTTATCCATTTCTAGCCATATATATATATTTTTTTTTTTTTTTTTATTGAATAATAATACAATCAGCCACTGTTGGAGGGCTATAAGTAAGCCATATAATTAAATCTTAAATACAAGCATACACAAATACACGAATATATATTAATATACTATTTATTTTCAGCAAGAGGAATTCCGAACTACTCTTGTCCCCTCACCTGTCGTAGGAAAAGCACTTCTCTACCAGTCGCAGGTATTAAAAGCCAGTGAAGATTGAGCGGGAACGCTTTAGCCACTGACCCATAACTCCAAAACATTAATATTTACTTAATTTTTCGTAAGTAATTTGTCAATTGGATGATGATAGGAGTGTTCATGAAGGTTGTGATAATGCTTAATAGTTCGTGGTATAAACCACTTTTTATCAAATTGTTAACATCCGCCTGAAAATTTCTGAATAGTTCCATCTCATCGTAACCTACAGCTATTTAATTTACGAAAAATCTTGGAATTTGGGCGTTTTCAATCAGGAGATCGGCAAACATTGTCTATTTAATTAAGTAATAAAAACCAGTAAATAATCATTTGCTTTCCACTTGAATCGTAAGATAATTTCAGTACCAACTAGAGAAAAAAGGCGGCCTTCAAAAATATTATGCCGTTTGGCGTGACAGGTTGTGTAAATGAGTTTTATATCAGATAATTTTAAATAAATGATAAATGATCCTTGTATGCTAACCTGCTGAAGCGTTGTAAGTTATAGTAAAGTTATGATTAGGGACTCCGATTTTCGTGTAGTAAAAAATCGAACTCAAAATAAAACTCAAACTCAAAATGTGTAAAATCGTTCAGTAAAACCACAAAAATAACAAGCAGAAATCATAGTCTTTGTTTAATTTATAATATCAATTATTGTTTACTCTTATGTTGACGGTTATAATCTCTAAACTGAAGTTAGGTATAACGTATAACGTAAAAAAAATAATTTTAATTTAAAATAAACTATGAATGATCCAATTTTAGACGATAGAAAAGCAGCTTATAAAAAAATTAATCATATATTTAAAAAACGGTGTATTTTTTATTTGAGGCTCGGTTTTACAGCTGCCGATCAATTTAAGATTTTTAAAAAGTAGAGTTTGAGTTAAGCTCCTTACCTTTTATTAAAATTCATATTCACTGGCGTAACCCGGCGGCGTTTTGTCAAAGAACATTCAGCTAAGCGGCATAAGTTTATTTACAAATTCTGTTATACTTGTTTGTTTGAAAACTATAAAATAAATATACACTTTTTGGAACAAAGAATTACAAAACTACAAGAATAAGGAACTAAGAGACTATATTCACTTGTGTCAAACTAAAATATTCAATATGTTATTCCCAATTATGATATTATTTCTTTAATAAAATGTTTGTACTTGGGAAGTGATTTTGTTATCTATATCAAACAATACTAGTTAAAATTTCTTTTGATCCCAAAAAGAGAACATGAAAATGTTATTTTGAATAAAAAATTGAGAAAATAATTTAAAACTATTTCTGATCTTATGTCGTTCATGAGGTAGACATTTATGTTCTCAACTATAAACCTAATATAATATATAATAAATACTTACATACGTAATTATGTACATGTTATAAAAGAAATTTGGTTCAAATATTTTACCTTATAATGCCTTAAATTGTAAAATAGCAATATCGTGCAAAAAAATAAATAACGTGCAATTAAGCCCAACAAGGCCAAAACGTGCAAAATGAAATTTCAATATGTTATTCAACAGATCATGAAACGGATAGATAGTCGGTTTTGAAGTTTTTACACCTAAGCGAACAAAATAACATGAAAATCCAGTCTCTAGTTAAGATTGGATTAAAAACAAAGTTATATTATTCTCCTACTTGATTCATTTTTAAATTGACAAAGCGAAATGAAAAACAAGGTTTGCTGAATTAGTTGATTAAAAATGGTTTAATAGAAAGCATAAATAAAGATTTATGTTCATTTATGAAAACATAAATGAAATCCTTTCTGGATCACTGAAGAAGACTTCTCTTAATACTAAAAAGTGTTGTCCCGAACGGATGACGCCAGCCAGATATAGGTAATGTTGACGGTTGAAAATATAATATAATATTCAATAAAAATGAAATTCAAGATCATCCTGTATTTACTCCAAGAAGGCACCCTATTTCTGTCCAATTTTTCGTGATATTGTACAGACTTGTGTCGGTAGTCTGGTATTGTACATAGTAACAAACACGACATCAAAATCTTATTATAACCTTCTCCGTGCATTCACGAAATTAGCACTACTTAATAGTGCCTCGGCTGCATTAAAATCGAGTGTTCTAGCGACCATATTTAACACAAAATCTCTTAAATAATTGAAGAGAAGGATGGTTGGGATGATCAGTCAAATTGCAATGTCAAAAAATAAATAATTTTATTTATTTTTACATTCGCCGACGTTTCGGCTCGAAGTTCAGGCCTTCATCAGGGTTGCTGCAAAAGAAGTAAAGTCAGACCCTTATTGTACAGCAGTCCTGATGAAGGCCTGAACTTCGGGCCGAAACGTTGGCGAATATAAAAATCAATATAATTATTTATTTCTTACCATTTCAAATGACTGATCACTCCAACCATCATTTTCTTCAATTATTTACTACAGTCAAATATAAACCCATAATTTCTTAAATAAGTTAATGGGATTTAACACATTTAAGGTGATTTAAAATAATTAGCAATCGTTGCCTATGAACTCCTCATATTTACTGTTCAGAAATCTATATTATTGACCATTTGGTCGATTTTTCTTTTTTTTTTTAATGTTGGTTCCGTGTTAGTGTTCTTTTTGAAATGAAGCCAAGATACCTAAATTTATCAGAAAATAGAAACGATATAGAGTTAAAATCAAGTAGCGGTCAAGATCTGTGTAGATTGGGTTAAGGTTACACAGCGGGACAAACCCCTACTGTACACCGCTTCCTCTCACCTCCCCAACACCACTATAAATTACTCATCGCTGTGTTCTTTGCAACTATTAATTAAAAAATAATCTAATTTTCTCGTAATAAAAGCGGCCATACAGTCCCGAAATGGCTTCCAACCATGATGGAGTAACGAATTTGACTTTAGTAACTGACATTCAGCAGTTTTCTTACAAAAGCTAATTTTTTTTTTTTTTAATTGGAAAAAATTAATTCGCTTAGGCAATAAAAAGCATTAATTTTTTTCATGTACTTCATAGTTGAATTGGAAATCAAGAGCGAATTGTAATTAACTAGTATAAATTCGTTCGCCCTTGAGAGATGAGCATACCTGGATTGGTCATGTAGGCTCTGAAACTGTAAGCTGGGATTCCAAAGAAATTCGTCTCTTTGTAAGTATGCAGGACGGCGTTGTAGTCGTAATCAGCAGGATCTACATTTGCAACATCAGCCTTGATGAACTGAAATTTAAATTATTTTTTTCTTAAGTTTCAATATGGGCAAGAAAAAGAAAAGTATGCAATGGCTTAGTCAGCTGAATGTATAGTGTGTCCCGTAAGTAGAGAAAAATATCTAAAAATGGTTATATCTTGCCACCTAAATGTACCCCTCTTTTCAGCAACAATGACACCAATAAATTATAGCGAAGCATTAATTTATTCTTGTTTCATGAACTGGGGTGCATTATAATAAACAAAACAGCATAAATAGACATTTTATTAACAAAACAAGTAAACAATTTTGATGGTTTTTTTTGATATAAATCTCTAAAATCTGCTAATTGCTTGCATTAATTTCTTGAAAACGTTGACATTAGGATTAGGAACATTTAGTCTTTCACTTATAAATATGGATCAATTCCTAAAACAGTGATGTGGATAAAAAACACTGTTTCATTGTCACTTTAAATGATAAATTCTTAAAAAATCATGATTTTAGCTTTTTTAAAAGATAAAATGTCTATTTACCCAGTTATCTTTATTATAGTACATCCCAGGTCATGAAAAAAAAAATGACAATTAAAGCCTTTTAATAATTCATTGTATTCCTTTCTGCTGAATACACGGATCGATTTAGGTGACTGGATATTACACATGATTTTTTAAAAGAATTTGAGATTAATCTCAACTTATTTCGTAATGAAATCTCAACTTTATATGACTATAAAGCTTATTAAACAAGTAAGATTTTCTAAAAGTGCAGTATCTATAGCATAGTTGGAGGTTTAAAAAAAATGGTTATTAATTATTGATCATTTAAACAACAGAACATAGTTAATCAGCTCAAAAGAATTCTTTAAATGATTTTAAGAATGACAAAGTCTGCTTTCATTTGAAGTAAATTTCGTCTACTTTACTGTGAAGAAAATTTTCAATTCTTTAAATTAAACAGTTTTTTTTTTAGTTACCATGCCTAATTCATGTATCGCCATCACATTTTCTGATTGTCAACAATAAGTTGACAGGCGCAAATACATTTTTATAGACAAAAAAAAAAAATTAGTTTTTATTTACAATTTCCTATTTAAAAAAACGTAAAGTACTTTAAAAACCTCAAATCTTTAATTTCCAACTTACCTGCTGAATATGTGATCATTGTTTATATAAACTGTTTTGTAGCTCCTGTGGTTGCTATCACTCCTTTAAATATTTTTCTCTACTTACCAAGGACGGATTTACGAGGTAGGAAACTCCCCCAAAATGGTAAAATACAACCATGCTTTATAGAAAAAAATATTAAAACATTATCTCTTAAAATATTATAGTTCAGGTTATTATATTTAAAAATACTTTAGGAATCACATAGACACCATTTCTATGCTCAGTTAGTTTATTTTTTTTCCGAATCAATTATCTTTATTTATATGAAAAAAAAGCTTTCGGGCTGAAGCCCCCAAAATTAAATCCAGGATCCACTAGTGCCACTTACGATACGTAAGTACCCTGTATATTTTAAAGAAATTAGCTACTTGAAAAATAAGTTCGTTGGACTCACCGAGGTTTGTACTCCTACTACGTTTCCTTTCTTGTCGAACATGAAGCAAGCCCTAGGATCGTTGGGGTAGCAGTAGAAATCGACGGGTAGTTTGAAATCTGCTTCTGGTTCAACCTTCACGTAGTCCTTGATCATGCGGTCGCTTGTGGATGTGGGGATGCGATGGAAACCTCTGGATTTGAAGAGATCAAACCTGACTGGAACAAAACAAAAAATTGTAAGTAAAGTATTAATTGGTTTTGATTTTATAGAAAAAAAAAATCACGCTCATAATTTATATTACTACTATAGTAAATAATAGCACATATTTCACTGATATATTTCATTCTTAAAAAAAATTTAAATATTAAATTTTAGAATACCTTATGAAGTTTTTTCTTTAGTATAGAAATATAGTTCTATTTTCTTATTTACTAATTTTTCGATTCGGGCTTATACATATCGGTATGAACACTTTTTTAAAAATTTAAAGTATTGTAATTTTTTCTGTAACTGTACTCCAACAGGTTAACTAACAGTAATACAAATTATTAAACTATATCCCATATCTATAATTAATACCATGATTCACTTTAGAAATATTATTTTATCATATCTCTCCATTACCTAAGAGATCATGACTCTAAATCAAATCTTATTTATAGCCGAAAAAGAAATTAATCTTAATGATAATGAAGAATGACATAATTATATCATTTTTATTTACCGTATTTGTAATTGGCTAGTTGGCTTGTTCGAATAATTCGCACAGCTTATCATCGAACACAAGATATAATAATATGGAAATAAATAAATGGGGTCCTCAACCTGTTTTCACTTGCGGGCAAATTTATAGGTTGTGTGTTAGGTGGCAGAAACAATGTTTTCATTCAATATGAACTGAATGAGGGTTACTGTTCGTAATATTTAAATATGAAATGTAAATGGTATCAATAAAAAAAAAATGTACGTACAGCAACAGTACAGTTTATTATTTCTAAAACTAATGAAACATATTTCAACATAAAAGGAGCAAACTCCAAGTGTAATAGATGTTATTAATTTTATATAGTTTTGTATTATATATTACGCTACTATAGAAGGAGAGATTATTTGTATTTTGTTTATTGGTATCTTAAAATGGTTCATTATTGAAAATAATAAAACAAAACAAAGTGAAAAAAAAATTTTATTGTTGTTAATTATAGATTGATTTTGTTTATACCTTTCGAATTACAATAGGTATATCTTCGACTTTAAATTGCACACTTTTTGAGTCATGAAGAAATAAAGGTTTCATTTCATAACAACTTTTCCTGCTTTATATACGCCGTGTATTTATTTTCAGCCAATACAGAAGAAGATGCAACGTAACAATATGATGTGAAGATAAGTAAATGAAATGTATTTAGTTCAGGGCGGAATCAGTTATAATTAATAATAATAGAACAAAACCTGAGTAAAAAATACAATTAGCAACATATTTGCTATATATGATTCAATTTTAATTTTTTTTTTCATTTTAAAATAATTAAGTATACATTCAACTCACAATAATTTTTTAGTTATACGTAAGTAAAGTTTCCTTTTAATCATACCTTCTTTTTCTGACTATTCTGGGAGATGTAAATATTTTTCCCACCTGAAGGAGGAAATATACTTAAAAATGATGGTTCAATCATTGTATTGATGAGCATTAATAAAAATTTGGCATACCAACAAGAGTTGGGAAATGATATATATACTTTTAATCAGGTTTCCAAATAATCAGAAAATAACATCTCCAGGAATATATCAGTTGCTGAAATTAGAAGGATAATCTAATTGTATGAAGAGTTCAACTTAAAATTCATTTATGAGAAAGATTACATGTAATCAATTTCTCAATCATTCAAAGTGACATTCAGTGATATATCTCCATATAACACAACAAATTACAGTAGCTAGGCTGCAAATAACTTTAATTTGCAATATAACATTATTTTAAAAATGGTTCCAAGATTACTGTGCTTAAAACGCAATATATTACTGTGAAGTGACGAATCCTACAACTTTTATCAAACTCATTAAGAAGTAACTCACTCTAATTTTTTTTAGGGAAGTGGTTAGCCGTAGTCCTGCCATTCTTCTATATGTCATCCTAAGGTCACTTTTTATTATGCGAGACATTGATCTGACAGAGATTCAAATTTTCCGAGACATGATTTGTTGTTTTCAAATGGGATTTCTTCTGATTCGAGCAACCACTGCATTTGCCGTTCTCACAGTGCGGGGAGGGCCCGGTCGAGGTCTGTCACATAAAAACAGATAGAGTCTCATTGTATCTATTTATAGTGCGATACACGGATATACGACTGATATCCAAAGGTTTCAAATTGTTGAAAATCTCAGAATTACATTTTCCAAATTTGTGTAAGGCGATATCACCCCAGTCAATGTGAAAGAAAGTGAAAGAAAAATACAAACTAATTGGGATTATTATCCTGACAAGTAAAGAAAATAATCTAATGAAGGTAAGGATTATCTAAATAATACCCAAGGATTAAAACAAAGTTCAACTTTTGTAACAGTATTTGTGGCAGAACTAGGTAATATTGTTAATTTGAAGGGATAAACATGTTTCGCTAATGTCGTTTATAATACATCGAGTGCATTTAGGGAAAGGATACCTATCAGTATTAGATCACTAGGCTATAGTAGTTTATAATAAAATATTATTTGTTATGATAAAAACAAATCCATGGGCTTTATAAAATGTTCCATGCCTGAGCTTCATACCTAATATATTTTAATTATTGGTAGAGATGCATATTTCTAACATCTACTATACTACTTAAAATAAAATTTAAAACAAATAATTTATGTATTCATTGATTTAAATTCGCATTATTCCAACTTACCACTAAGGTCATCCCATTTTTTTTCGCCTGCACATACTTGGATGAAGCACACCAGTGCCAGAATCTAAAAAAGAAAAATAAAGTTCTTTTTATGTGATCTTATTATTTCTTATGAATAGTTATTAATAATCATTATGAATAAAAGGAATGACTATAATATATGTGTTTGTGAAGGACTTTTTTTTTAGCAAGGATTTATGTTTTTTTAAAGAGATGTAGTAGACATTGCAACGATCATTTTTTTCTAATAAGTTTATTTCTCATCTACCCTTTTTAAATTTTAATCCACACTATTATGGAATTGACGATAAGCAGCTGTGATGAAATGAACTTGGAAAAATACATGAAGAAGAATAGTATCCAGAAGCACCTCTATTCTCTCTAGTCGTTATTTGGTTCCTTAACTGAGAAAAGGAGATCTCTCATTATGCTCTTTTTCAGTCGCTTCCTGATGGGCATCTCAATTTTTGCCATATCGTTTGTTTTTGTGTTTGTATAGCATAACATGAAATCGAGAGTAAAGTCAATCATTGGCTGTCGTAAGTCGGTATGTGAAGTTCAGTTATTCTTATGGGACTTCGTCCCATGTTAAAAATTATTTTTTATCTATCTATCTAAAGTTTTATTGTTCAAGTTCGAGGTAGTTGATATCACTGGCACCATGTTGAAGTAACGAATGTTGAATGTGTAACGTTAAACAGACTCACATTCGTTACTTTAATATGGTCTCGACGGTATTATTAATTTTAAAATTTCGAATTGGAAATATTGTAGTTTTTTTAAGTGCGGCGTTTTTGCTTATCCGAAAATCTGTGAGGCGAATGTCCATATGGGTTTGAGAAGGTATGTATTTAATTTTTATCTTATTTTCAATTTTAATTTGAAAAACATGTTAGTATAGTACTTTCTGTCGCTTGTTTAATATTTTTCTTTTCCTTTAGATGCGTGGACCCCAGAGTATCCTTCTAGCGAATCATTCGTCATCAGTCAAAATTAGTTCAAGATAACATACAGAGTCTGTCTGAGGAATTTGGTTGTTACAAATATAAACTCCTAGGTACTCTCTATTATCTCATTTAAAAGTAAATGTTATATGTTTAGATTTGGAATGGTTTAATCAGATGTTCCAAAGAGAGTACCAATTTTGTTAATTTAATAAGTGATTTTCTAAATTCAGTGAGCCTAGTTTGGGGTTATGTTGTTGTGTTATGCGCATATATAACATACAGTAAAGGAGCCAATCACACCTCGTTAAGAACTAATTATTAATTATAAAAAAAATACATTTTACTCCTATAATATTTTATGTTATATTAAAACTTTAAAAAAATCAAACAATGTCATAAAAGTGAAGAATTGCATTGAAAAGGAAACTTCATTGGATATTTGTGTAGATATACAGTAAATTTTTGTATCTAGTTTTGTGCCTCATATTTGAAGCAAATATATATTGAAAATTAGAAGCGCGTTTTGAATTGCTAGTGAGAGAAACACTTTATTTTCATATAAAATATACAATAAATAATTCGCCCATATCTAGGTAAAACATAAATTGAAATTCTTTTATCTAATCTAATTTCAAGTCAAAATAGAATAAAGTCTTTAGCATAAATACTCTCGTATTCTACACCAAGGGTCTGCAAACTACGGTCCGAGAGCCGGAGCCTGACAAATTAAAAAAATATATAAAATTAAGCAAATTATTTACTCACGAGGTTACTGCAATAGTCATTGTATGGGTTTTCATTTTCATTATTGCAAGATTTTTTTTTATTTCTGGATATGGCCCGCAGGACTTGGGTGGAGGTCTCAAAGCGGCTCGCGGAAATAAGCTGAGGTCTCAATGTTGCCCGCGGGACAAAAACTTTAAAGACCCCTGGTCGACACTATACAGGGTGTCTCGTAATAGTCCACTAAAATTAGGGATTGACCCCTACAATAAAAAAATAAAGATGAAATCCATATGTGCCCATTTAAGGTGAAAATTTTTGAATATTATAAAATAAGGCTCTGTTACAGCAACCACCCTTTTCATCAATTTTTTTTATTTATTTTTTTTTAAATTTATTTATACATACAATATTCTGTCACAAGGACAATAATTATAATGATAAATGAACACATTCACACCGTATATACAAAAAAAAAAAAAAAAATTAACAAAGTAAAACAAAAACTAAATAAAAAACTATACACAATAAAAAAATAAAATAACCTAAATATAAGTAAATTAAAAACATTAAAATACAATCATACCTATATACAATATATACAATCAGGCGAGGAACCCAAATCCCTGCGCTAGTCTCTCAACCTCCTCACCGGTGCTAAAGCCGGTGGAGTTTGAGCGAGAGCGCTTTAGCCACATACACTCAGAATCAGGCCATTGCCAGAACTCCAAAATTCATCAAATTAAGAATGTAGCCAGGATCCTAATAGACAGGGCCATGAAAACTAACTAGCATAAAACACATAAAAAAAAGTGAAAGAAAATGTATATACATTATTAAATGAAAATTGGTATCCAGAAAAAATGATAAAGAACTTATGGAGAGAAGGCACATATAAAAAACAAGAAGCCCATGCACATTTCAACAGCATGAAAAGAAAAACCGTATTAGTGAGGAACAAAACTATAATAAAGAGGGAAACAAATCCTAAAATAACAAAAATGTATTAATTACTCATTTTTTCAAGCCAATAAATCAAAATGAAGCATCATTCAGTAAGTGAAGAAAGCAATGAAACGAAATATAGAGAATCCCAGGATATAAAATCAAAAAATATTTTACTGCCTAACACAAATTGATAGTCTTACTGACGAAATATCCAATACTTTCAAGAAATATGACTTAGCAGATTTAAGGTTTAGTAGAAAATAAAAAAACAAAATTTTAATATAAAGACAAAATAGATAAAAATGAAAAAATCTGACATCATATACAAAATAGATTGTAAGGACTGTAAAAATTGCAATAGTGAGAAACTTTGATTTTAACAACACTGAAATACTGACAAGTGAAAAAAAAAAGCTTCAGAAGAGAAGTTTTAGAATCTATTTACATTTCCAAAAATTTAGACCCTGTATGTAATTTCCAATCTGATACAAAAGGATTAAACAGCACCTATGCTAATATAATCACAAAATGAAAATTTTAATTAAATAAATGTTTAATAACAGCCTTTAATAAGTGAGCAATATAAACAAATATATAACAATGTGCAACCTCCCAACCACACTTAAAATTTAATTAGACTTTGGACTACATGCAAAAAGCATGGTTGGATAAAGTAAGGAAGTTTTAAAAACTAAAATAATTTATAAATGTTGATTTTACCTTAATACTTATGTATTTGAGTAAAAAAGCAACCTCACTCTATCTAGTGGTATTGTTAATTTACAATTTAACTGGCTGAGTTTATTACAAACATTTAAAAAAATTACCTTAACCTAATTAGACTTATAATTTATAGAATATTTAATTGAATTTGACTAATACCACCTTCATAGAGTGCAGAATTACATTAAAATACAGAATTAATGGTGTATATATTATAGATAGCTTGAGGATTGCTTACCGGCCGAAACGTAGCTATAAAAATTAAAATAAATATGGCGAAAAAATTAACAGAGCCTTATTTTATAATAAACATGAAACTTGTCAGAAATTGTCCATTACCTTCCCCATAATAAGTGGTGAAAAATCGCAAAGAATACCTTTCTCCAATTTCTCCAAACCACAAAATTGATGTTCTTAGTAGACGATACCTTTTTGATATTTATTTAGTTGTTTTTGTTGTTTTTTTTAAATTTTTTGATCGTTCAATTTATTATTCAAAGTTCCTTTAATTTCATTACTCTTAAAAGTCGTTGATAACCAGGAGACTTAAATTTTGTAATTTTCAAGCCAACCACATTTTATGTTGAATAAAACGTAATAACTAAAAAATGTTTTATTTAGGTTACAACAAATTACTTCATAGTAAACTAGGTTAAATTTACATTAAATACAAGTAAATCTTTTCTTTTTTAAACAAATCTAGGGGACTTTTAAGCAGTTAAACTACGGTTCGGGTTTTCATAAAATCAAGAATAATTTGAGATTCATTTTGTTACCCAACTAGATTGCAGATACCACACTTTCAGAATAATTTCCATGTTTGATGGGCTTCAAGTTTATAGTGATTAAGTTGTGGTTTGTTACAGAGTAAGTTGAGATTCACCCCTAATTGAGTAAAACCATATAAAAATATTTGGGTCGATTCCTAATTTTTCGGTAATAATAATATTTTTACTCAATTCGAGAAAAAGTAAACTCATCTTAATTAATGTAGATTAATAAAATTAAAGCTCATCGAACAAGGAAGTTTTTGCGATACTGTAAGCAAAGGAATTTTTCATCGTTTCATCATCTCTGTAATGGGCTGTAATTTATAATTTATTTTTCATATTATTAATCTCGCCTCGTTGATGTTTCACTTCTACATTGTGGTCTACACACTAATGTACACACTTTATTTTTTTTTAACCTACAGAGATGATTTCCAGAGGAACCAGCAAATAACTTATCAAATAAATAACCTCAGGAGTCGTGTGGAATTAAAAATACTAATTGTGTGTGTTGAATATCATATACCTGTTTAGCTGATGTCGCTTATACGTCGAATGCATGAGGGAAAACGATAGTTATTTAATATGGAAGTTCTATCTGAGATGTACTACTGTTATAAATATTTTTAAAAATACTTACCTGGCACACTGTAGTCAGCAACGTTGCCATTTTTAGTAAGAAATCAGTTGTGAAACGCGGTTTATGTAGTGTTTCCCCCTTCCAGTGACATTACGACCGTTTGTAAATATTAGTTAACATGTTTCATTAACAAGTATAAATTGTGAGGTTGTAACTGTTTATTTATCATCATTATTCAGAATACATTAAATAAAATTATTAATTAGAGTTATTGTTTTAACATGTTCATTCACAGTTTATCTTTACAAGCAGACAATATTATTTACTGTCTTATTTATCAGAATTTGACTTGTACAATAACTTTCGACAAGACCTCACAAAATTTATCAATAGTCTAGAATATGACCAACTAGCAAAAAACTGAATAAATGGTAAGCATAATAAATGGAAAGGCCACCCATAATTTTGTATAATATATTAATTTATGAAGAATATGTAAAGTTATATTTACCTGCTTTATAACTTCCCTAATTTTAAGAAACTATTTTCATTGATTTTAGTATATTTTTCTTATTTAAGTTTATTTTAGTTATGCTTATACTAACTACTAAATGTTTGAATTTAATTATGTTTACAATGAGTTAATTTTATGTTATTTGATAAAATGTTATATTTAAGATGCATAATATACATTTGTATGGAATGTATCATAATAATTTAATGTATAATAACATAATGTATCCTTTTAAAGGATTGCTTTGGAAGGAAAAAAGAAATAAAGCAAACAATACTTGACCAATTCATACCATAAAAATCCGAGTACTTCAAAACTGATGTGCAAGTATCTTGGAATTTAGTTTTTCCTTGTATCGAATGTAGTACATTATTGTATACAAAGAAACATGTTTTAAATATGTGTTTTAAAATGTGTTTTAAAGTTATTTAGTGATTTTTAGTACTGTGAGAAGTATCGATTAAGAATTCTGAACTCACTTCTTTCGAAAAATTCAAAATTAAAACTTAGACAGAAATTGAACACATACAATTACTTACTAAAACCTATTTGGACTTACGCATCACAAATATTTGGAACTGCTAAAAAGACCCACTTAAACAAACTTCAAACCTTTCAAGCAAAAACATTCAGGACAATCACAAAAGTACCTTGGTACGTTAGCAACATAACCTTACATACTGACCTCCATATGCCGACTGTTAACGAACACATACGAACTCATTACAAACGATTCCATGAAAACTTGCAAGGACATCCTAATACACTTATAAATGACATGGCCACTACGAATATACCAGATAACGTCTGTAGGAGACTGAAGAGGAGCTGGATGAGGGACATCCTCGCCTAACGTAGATATCACGCCGAGTGAGGTGCCGCTGGGCACTGATCCTCGTAATGAATTTCATGACATTATTTTTTCCAATCAAACTCACATTCACTGGTTGTCATTACCATTATGACAGGTGTGAATAAAAAAATAAACCAAATATTTCATTTCAAATATTGAAGCATATACAATTTATTATAGTTTTTATAGGAAACACATTCCAATAAACTGAACCATTAAAATAAAAATCACTAAAAATAAATTAATGTTTTGAAATTTCAATTAGGTCTTTCTATTTAACATTCTATGTTTTAAAACTCATTTTATTAATATGTTACTTTCATTTCAGAAAATGGCAAAATATCATACTTGTGACCGACATAAAATTATAATTTTTTTTATCAACTAGGACTTCCAATCAGCGAAATCCAAAAAGGAGATGAAAGTTCTATTTCTAGAATTCATTGTCATCAAAAAGTTGTTTAAATCCATGTGACCTGGTTACTTAAAACAATGAAGCAGGTCTTAAAAATATAGTCCTGTTGGTTAGAAACATTTGAAATTTTTGTGTTCGCTCAACCGCTAAAAATCTAGCAGAGAACTCAGTTCAACATACCCTACTTTCGACTTCCTTAATCAGAAAAAAAAACTCCTATAATTTTACCTTAAAGAAGGTGTTGCCAAAAGAAAACCTTTTTTTCTATCTTTAAAGAAGCGCAAGTGACTTAAGTTTGCGAAAGAAGACGGCGCGAATTTTACATTGGAAGAAGAATAGAACACATTTTTAATGAGAGATGAGTCAAAGTTTGAAAGGTTTGCTAAGGAAGAAGGCAATATGTTAGAGAAGATCTGGTTTGGAATTTTCAAATTTATGTTAAACCAACAGAAACAGACGTCCCACTGAGCTACCCCGCTCTCATATTATTTTTTCTACTCTTATATATTCGTACATCCTCTTTTAAATGCACTTACAAAAGAAAACAGTGTCATTTTTTTACTGTTTGAGTTGTAGGCAAATAAAAATTTTATATCATCGTAAATTTAAAAAAAAAAAATTGTACCCTTCTTCCTCTCTCAGCGCAAATTCGTATTGGAGAGTTTTTTCAGCTGTGAAATATCGATCTCAATTTGGCTTTTCCTTAAATATATTTAGGGAGTGGGGTAGCTCAGCGGTAGGGTACTGAGCTTCTAATGCTAAAGTTCCCAGGTTCGAACCCCGGCTCATGGCAGAAAATTTATTTATCTGTTTCATTGGCCGTGGGGCGACCCTGGGTCGGGAGAACCTCCTGGGGCACACCCAGCCTCTATAAAGTGGGTATCATTAATTAAAATAATTAATTAAGGGGAAAAACCTGGCGGTTGAGCGTGATCTCGGTCAAATCACCTCCTTGCACAACCGTTGACCTAGAAACAGTGCATTCCCTAAATAGTACTGAACTGAGTTGTAGTGATACAGGTTTTTTTTTTAAATATATTTTGAAACTATTAAAATATTTGATACCACTGCCCCTTTGCTTGATTTGCCCCTCCGTCAGTACAAATTGTTTCATTTCAATATTGCACTTTTATAATAAATATATTTAAAACATAGTCAAAATAGAGTTCTACTAAAACTAAACATAAGCCGAAGAAAATCTGAAAAAAGTAAAAATTTTTTTAGAAAACTTACATTTCGAACAACTTAAAACAAAAAAAGGGGTCGAGGAAGGTGTTTAGGAATTTTGAATGAAGGAAGAAACATAACAAAATATTTAGTTTAATGATAAAGTTATATAATTTTTATTATATTAAATTATAAATCTTATTTGATACTTGGTAGTTATCGAATTGGGATCCAGTCAGTGGCTTCATTGATAATGTTATCAACGAACCTACATGCAATTTTCCACGGTTTATCTACTAGATAGACGTGCATAGATATCAGACCATAATTGCTGGCCAAATCGTCCATACAAGAAGGCCTATGTGGAAGAATAAACTGAAATCAAAATATATAATTAATTTTAAACTGTATTTAAAAATAAATAATAAACTAATTGTTTTACTTGAATACAGCAAATGAATTTTTAAAAGTTGTTAAGATGCCAATGATGAATTATTTACCTGGGTTATAACTTACTTAAAAATCAATGTAATTAATGTACATAAAAACAATATAAAATGTATTTTATTTATTGCAAAAAGCCATTTCATAACATCAAATCATTAAGATCTTGGATGAATTATCTCTTTGTGAAAGGATAGCATTCTGGGATTGATATGAAAAGACATGATAAAAAATTATGTATAATTTTCGAGCACTTATTATGGTTTCTATCGATAAACAAGGTCAAAGATAACCATTGATTGAACTTGATGGCTTTCTTCAATAAATTGACGAGATATTTATTAAAGCATCTCACTCAATATTAAATAAAAAAATTATTGTGAAATCGAACTTTTCTTTTCCCTGTGACCGCATTCATATTTAAATCTGTCTATATAAAAAAAAGTGATTGAACTTACATTTAAAGCAAGCCTCGGTGGTCGCTCGTACCAATCCCTTTTTGGTCCACTTGATCCTTTACCTGCAGTGGCTAAACCAATGGCAACAAGGTTCATATCTTCATAGAGTATGAATAGAGGGAAATGAGTTTTGCAATCGGTCAAGTTTTTGTCTATTTTATAGAAATAATGCTGCCCTGAAAATGAGATACAATTATTTAAAAACTAAACTGTGAACAACCAAAGGATATCAACATAGAAACTTTACTATTGCACGAAAATATAGTATAGGTTATTTTAATCTATAATATCTAAAATATGAATTTGTAATGAATTTGAATACTTTAGTTTGAGTTCATCACAAGCATGTAATACACACGTGATAAAAAAAATAAATAAGGATTAGTTTCATTTTCTGATAATATATTTTTTAAATAGATTGCATTGATATATATTTAGAAATGCAAATCACAAGTTAATTTTTATGCTTGTGCAAAAGGAACTGCATTATTAAAAAGTGAAAAACTATTAATAACTCTCGTGAAGAAAAGTTAAAATTTAAGATAAAGCACATCCCATAAGCAGGAAGATGAAGCATTTAAAAAAAAAATCATTTAATAGCACAGATAGTTTATAATTTAATTTTACTGTACTTATTCTGAATATCTAACGTAGTGATTTCAAGATCACTTTGGGCTCACTGTAGAAGGAATCTTAAAACAATCCGCGTTTATCGCCAAGTAGACGTAGACGACCAATCTTCAAACCAACATAGCAGAATGTTTAAGTTTGGACAAATTGAGTCAACTAAAGCTCTTATCACGTTAATTGATGTTTATTTAAGAAGTTATTAATGCATATAAACATCATATCCTGACTTATCAAAATGTAATCTGTATATTTTTCGAAACTTTCACTTCCCCCTTTGAAATAAATATCAAAATAAGAAAGAAAGTAAATTCTATTCTGGGACACTTAGTCCCCTCAGAATAAGTACGATGAAACAAGACATGACAATTGTCTGGCGATTATGCATAATAATAATGATAATGACAATTAAAAATAAATTACAAAGTTTTATAACCTTAACATTAAAACAGAGAATAGGCACCGTAATATATATATATATATATATATATATATATATATAATATATATATATATATATATATATATATATATATATATATATATGATTTTGAAGTGGACATATGAATTTAAAGATGAATATATACGGATGAGTTCAAATATTTGTACAAATAAGCAATATAACTTTGTTTTACACATATTCGGAAGATTGATTAA